GGAGTTTAGGGAGGGAAAGAAGGGGGAAGGGGGAGGTTAGGGAGGGAAAGAAGGGGAAGGGGATGGGCCAAGAGTCAAGGACAATTTGATACATTGATAAAAAATATCCTGAGTCATTGGGAAATAAAAATATTTAATGAATAAAACTGATTAAAAATGATAAATGATGCAGGGTTGAAACTAACAATATGTTTTTGATATATAAACATATAACCGTCAATTTTAAATTTAACACAAATGCCAATGCATTTATATATATATCACCCCGGACTAACCAGAGTTAGAGGCATTTGGTTTCTTCTAATTGAAATCATACTCGTTTTGGTTTATAATATAACAATCTTTAAACTTACGGATTTGTTTGTTTGATACTTTTTATTAAAAATGTATATGCCAGCAAAAAAGTATTTAAGAAAGAAAGCTGAAAAATTATGTTTGATACGAGAAATTGGGATCGAAAGTCATAGCTTTCTGGAATATTGACAGAACCATTAAGTCCATGTGATATATATATATATATTCATACAGGGAGACCAATACAACTGTGGAATAGGAAAGACAATAAAGTAATCTTATGTCTATTTGAAGTTAGTATTGCAAAGGAAATAATTTTGCCAGTAGCTTGAAAATTATATATTAAATGAAATGAAATGAAATTGATATATATTATTTAAAAATCATAACTTTAGTCTAACTGTCGTATTCTTGTTACACATTTTTATCTGACCAATTGGAAGGGGCTGTAAAGTAGTTTTAAGTGACCCTTCATGCAAAGATGACATGTCCCGATTCACAATATTACCCTTGAAAGCTTTGTCTGATCTGATATGAATTAAATATCAATCTTTATAATTTTCCAAAAATGGTTTCGATTTTAACGACTGGAAGGAATACTCGTTTAAAGGACTGTATTGGTCAGATAAAGGATTCTAGGCCGGGTACCGTTGTGAATGATTGACTCGGTTATTGCCATCGTTGCAAAGAGGGTCTCTTTAATTTATGCTTCTACAGTTCTTTAAACAGGTCACAGTTTTTTGGCTGGGTGTCGTAAAACGAGAAAGATCGGACTTTTTTTAATTAACGTGTTTTCTTATTGACGACAGGGTCATTTGGAAAGATTATAACAAATGCAGTCTGCTGACTTGAAATAAACGAACCAGAATAAGAAACCTGCTGAAGAGATCTTAATTAAATTAAAAAGCAAATTTTCAAATGATTTGCATTTGGACCTTGATGTGTAGGGATAACC